ATGTCCTTGCCTGAACCCTATTGACGTCGTCCTTTCGTCACGCTCCAGGCACTCTGCAGATTTCCCCTGCTTGCTCTCTCGGTCCGTCACGACTAAACTTATCTCGTTTTCCATATTGAAAAGTCAGTCTTCAAGTTAATCCCTAAAAGACCAGTGAAAGACGCCTGGAAGACAGTGGCTTTTTTTCTTTCATGGACGCCCACTGACACGCACTGGGGAATCCGTCTTTTTATGAGGGCAGTCTTTTATTTTGCGGAGCAATGGATGTAGTGGTTTATCAGAGTTACGCTCTTCAGGCTTTTAAAGGAGTAATTCAATGGAACATGGGTGAAAATTTACCAGTTTGTTACTATGCATCTGAATATTGGTGCAGTTATTGAAGTACATGTACTCGTTTTAGCAACTGAAGAAAGCTATGGCGACCTTCAAAAATGACATTTAAAAGTTGCCTCATGACTGTAGAAAAAGAACTGATATAAACTGTCATATTCATGATTTCGTATACAATATATGCCTATATTTATTTGCACATTTATTGATATTTTCTGTTTATCATACTATTATATTTCATGAGTTCATTCTAAATTAAAATTGAGTGAAAACACTCTCTACACAGACATGAGGCTATGTTAGGGTCTGGACGAAAACCTTGAGAGGAATATAAGGGGATTGAAGTTGACGTCTAATTTTCAGTGAGGCAGTATTAAATACTTAACGCAACATAAGGCATGGCATCAATTAAGGGAAAATTCTGTCCCTCAAACTAGTTGCTTAGTAGCTAGAGGATTATTCAAGGTACTTCAAGTAGACAAGGCCTCTGTCAAGGACGAATAGTTTATCAGTATTCTTGACCTTAGCCGTGGGAAGTTCCAAATTACCAACTTGTACTTGACCCTTGACATGGCCTTGACCCCAAGCTTAGAGGTTGGTTAAGAAGGACATCCGGTTAGATCCGGTTGGGAGGAACAATTTTGCTGCTGAGTGTTTGAAGGGTTTTATCTTAGCAACATGATGGGCGATGGAATCGTGACGTTACTATAACAACGATGCTATCGCTTTGTGATAACATTCTGTTGTCCAAAATTTACGCCTGTTTGAAGACCTACTAGTAAATACAGATGGCTGAGAAAATTGTACAACCTTTTTCCAAAGTATTTTGTTAACTCTAAGGTGTAATATTAAACGACTAGTCAAACCCCTCTAACAGCTTAAGTAGAAATATTTCGCTCTTAATTTATTCATTGAATTCATTTTCTTCCTTGTCAAGTATACACACACTGTATGTCAGTGTTTTGCATTGTTTTCTTTTAAATTAGCCTTTGGGCATGGTTTTGCAATAACGTTATTACTATTACTATTAAACAAAATAAATTCTACTGTCGATATCGGGTGTACAGAATGCCACAGACAAATATCTCTAACTACAACATTTTCGCCACAGGGAAGCTGTACGGCAGAGACGGTACGTAGGGACCAGACAGCTGACAGTCACAAGATGTCATTTATTGTCGGTGTCTTCAGGGGAAATTTTCCAATATGTTGTGAGTAGACGCTTCCAAACATCTGACATGGGTACGAGATCTCAAGATCAAGTCTGTTCGTAGAAAATGTAGGACTTTGGGTATAACGAGGGATCAGAACAAAATCAGTTCGGAAAAAATACAGCAAGGGAAAATGCACAAACCATACAAACACACTGAACATCATTATTATTAATACGTCGAGCAACAATGTGAAAAAAATGTAATTTCCTAGTCAATCATTGGAGTAGTTTGTCACAGTCACATTTAGCTAAAAGCTAATATATAATTACGGAAGAACGTTTTTGTGCTTTCTAACCTATTTATCTTATACCACTCTTCAAAAAAAGTAAGTTATATGGTAATTTATTGAAGGAGGTGAGAGGTATAAATGTATAAACTTTAGTATATATTTCAATAGCTGCCCCTGGCAATGGCTGACTTCAAAGGCATGTCAAGTCAGGAACAAATTGCCTTCACAAGATCAGTGACAGCCAACTGTGACCTTGCGACACAACATGCATACAAAGCGTTCTAATTAGCATATGTTAGCATTTGCCTTTTTAAACCATTCCCGAACTCTATTGATACTACGTTGGAAAGAAATGCTACGCATTGCTCTATGCTGTATGTGTATGTGCCACATCTTTATCAATTCTACGGTGAAAAGGACAAAGATTTCTTTTTGTTAGTCTGTTACAAAAGAGTGAAAAGACGCAATTATAGCGGTAGCGTTGGTTGCAACAGGTAGGACGCACCCGAGGCCTGTTGGGGTGTTTCATCATGATATATGTTTTCTCAAGGACTATCTGGTGGGGTATCAAAACGAACTGACAACAAAAAACATACCTAAAGCTAACACCGTCTATAATGGAATGAATTGTATGTATACGAACGAACAGATATGAAAGTACTGGTTGACAGAATAGCAAACAGTAGACACAAGGGTCTGTAACTTCGCAACGCTCTTGCCACGCCCAGCCTGTGCCTTTCTCTCATATACACCAAGGAAAATAAAGGTCAGTGCATATGTTTGGTACGTTATATTACCCATAAGCAATTTGCTGTGTTCTTGTGAGTCAGTGCACAATATGTAGTTTGATTTAGCACATATCGCCTAGGAAGAGCTACGCCAAGTCGTGTGGAAAAGTATGCAAATTCCCGCATCAAACAAACCAAAAGGAGATCCTCAATGTACCACAAGAGCAGGCAACATGTTGAGCCATTAAATGGAGAGTACCTTTTAATATTGCCTTTTTGTGCAACTATGGAGGTGTTTCACCCTACGAAGTGACTATACAAATTGACAATTGTTACGAGCTAGTAGATACCTTTCTACGCTGTATAACGCCATACATGTACGCTTAAGGAATGGCACAACTCTTTAGCACAGTTAGAAGTGTACAAGTCAATGAAAAGGCTGCTATCCTTAGATTGTAAGAACCTAAGATGTACAATAATAAGATATACATGTATCAACAAGCAGACAGCATACCTTAACAAAGAAGCCCGTTAGAAGCTGCCTGGAAGAAGGTTTCTTACTCTTGGGGGTAAAAACGCACCAACTCCGGTCCCCCGGATGTGTCCGCTATTTTGCATGGCCCATTTGCAAGACAGATGAATAATGGAAGGATTTCAATAATACCCGGACCAGCCGGCAGGGAGCCTTCTATTCTTCCTCCACACAATGGCATTTCTTAAGACGCTAACAGATCAGGCATGCTCTTTGAGATGACGGGAGGGGAAGATTGACGAGATAAGCGCTTCTTGAAAGAGTTATTTACTTGACACCATTTTTTTCTTGACCCTACAAATGTCAAGTGTCCGGGGGAGATTATATTGTGCGATTCAGTAAAAAAGAGGAACGGAAACGAACTCTACAAAAGAATATATTTTAGTTTTTAGCACATACAAAAGAAAGGGATGGATGCATCAGTCAATGACATTTTAGAGCTCTAGTCCTGTAACCCTTTAACGTTTTGCTATCATTGATGCTAGTGATTTCAAACGACGAAAAGAGAACATTTTGATTGAGTTTTTTTTATTTCAGACATTTAGTGTAACTGATTTCTAAGTGAACAAACTGACAAGATTTTGATATCAGTGAAGTGGCCAAACCAATAGGTATAGTGCACGCGTTGCCCTGAAAGATCACATTGACACTTGCATGATGAGTGTTGCGGCCTGACCATGGGAGCTTGGGACCTTGATGAATTTTTCATAGCGTTATTTTTTGTCGTAATTGAAGCTTTGATATAACATGGCTCTTACAACACACCCTTGTCCTGAAGTACCCCTTCGAGCGCACTGGCTTTGGGAACATTTTGTATCCAGCCGAGCACAAGAAAGTTCATTGTCATCGTCAAACAAGCACATTCTTTACGTTAGACGTCAATGAATTGACTATTCAGAAGAGAATGTAAGATTATTCTGAAGTCATCCAGAAGTGCCTTGAAAGTGCTATTCAAGACTGTGTCGTGATGGTAAGATATGAAGACAATAAGAAGGAAGTAATCGGTTAGAAATTCGCCATAGAAAACTTTCTAAAGGCTGGCTACTTCTAGCAAAATTAGTACAACGACAAAAGCTGTCAGGCTTTTTTTTTCTTAGCCTGGTTACCAAACCTACTAGTATTTTATCTCCCAAGCTTTTTATCCTCTCCGCAAATAGTGACGTAGGGGTAAATTCGTTGGGAATAAATCACTACCTATTTGGAGAAGATAAAAACTCAGAAGCTAAAATGTACTAGTATTTGGCACTCAGGCTACCTTTTACTAGCAGTGTACTAGAAAACGTTACAGTTTTCCACCGCAACATCTGCTTGGACATTACCTAATTTGCATGCTCAACCGTAGTTGCAACCGTAGATGAAATTGGGCGTGAAACGAGTTAAAATGGCCTTCCCTGTAAAGTACACAGCAGTGGCTTCCGGCTGATACACAGTCAAGACCACCTCCTAAAAAGATCTTCATAAATTCATACGAAACCGTCACACCACAAGGGCCCGCCATCTCCAACAAAAAAGCTGATTTTTCACGGGCCTTGTATGCTACCCTGGGGTACTAAGCGGGTAAAGAATTCCCATTGGAAGGGACAAAGGGTGTGTAATCTGCCGGGGGACACCCTTACATGGGGCGGCCCCACTGGGTCAGCGTCCCTGGCAAAGGTCAATAAGTTTAAACTTGCAAATGCGGGAATAGCATTTTACTGTATATTCCACTGCGTATGTTTTCTGTATGTACCAATATCAAACTAAGAGGTGTCTTTGACTTTGCAGGAGTATTAAAATGCAGATTTTACTCAATGGTTTCTGCCAGGACAGTTCATAATTTTCAATAATTCTTATCCCTTGAGTTTGTTCAAAATGTCTTCAAAATTCATGAAGCAAATCGCGGGAGACTGACAACAATCACTAACGTTAATACCAACAATTGCCGTGGACGTGTGCCAAGAAACCGACATGTTCAACTCTTGACTTACCTTGTTCAACAACCACACAAGACGCGGCGCTCTTTTCTCCTCCCCACTTCTCTGTCAAGTTGTGTTAGAAACTCTATCACTCACGGACCAACAGGGTCTTCCCCTGAGCGACTTGTGTGCCTCTGAATAAGCCTCCTGAAGAATCCCTCTCTGTCCGAACTACTTCGTGCACTACTTGAATGTTTAAGACGGTTAGAAGACGCTGCCAGGCCCCGGTGTAACAGCCGCCCGTTCCCGCTTGGACCCACGTACCGACGGAGCGTGCCAAGCCTAGTGCTACCACTGCTAGAGGGCGTGTAAGGGGGATACCGAGCTAGTGTGTTTTATAGCTATGTCAATGATGGTTTTCTGCTGAGTTGAATTTATGGGGGTTTGTTTTCTTTTTGCCATTATGTCGTTGAAACTGTCGTTTCGTTTTAGCCATATTTACGGAAAGGACGAGAGACTAACAGCTAAAAAAATTGGTAACCAGGCTAGTTTCGTTTCGTAGTCATTTTTTACCCTTCCCGTTGCCTGTACAAAAACAAACGTTGACGATTTTCGACGAAACGTGGCAGCGTTGTAGCGCAACATTCAAACCCTTCCATACCCCTACACGCTTACGGTCGAAACAGAAGCGTAGAATTACCAATTAATTTGTCCATGCCTTATCTCATCTAGTACCTACACTACAGCTCAGATAAAACAGACTGATACAGCCAACATAAGTCCTCAGCGATCGCTAAAGCAATAGAGTCTTGTTTGATGCCATCTATCTCATAGATTAAAGAGATCACATACTATCGATATGGAGGGGACTAGGATCGGCAACCAACAAATCTTTAGGCCACAGCAAGTAAATTCTATGGATGACATCATCCGCAGACTCCAAATCTAATGCGAGCGGGCGAAAAATGGATGACATCATCCGCAGACTCAAGGCGGGTCGAAAAAAACAAGGTTCCTATATACAAATTTTGACTCAATAATTGTACAAATGGTTTTGATTCAGTGAGAACATCACATATACACATCCAGCATCACATATCACTGCTTCAAAGTAAAAAAAAACAACATTGAATCATGTCTTTCTTGTCTCCAGTCTTCATAGTTATCTGCCATCCACTTTCCGGCATGGCAACAGACATCTTTGCCCATTTTCGGCATGGTGGCCACTGTCAGAAGGCAACAAAATTTCTTCTTTTTTTTCGAAATCAGGCGAAAATTAATGCGCGCGCTGATGTCATCCATAAGAATTACTTGCTGTGGCCTTACCTAGCTAGAGACTGATGGGTCTAGTCCTCAGATAAACGCTTACAATTGCATGTTTATTTTGTTACATGATGATTTGCCAATCTCCAAGCAGATCCCTTTCGGTGGCCGGCGACCTTCTCGGGCATGATATATAAAAAGCTAACCATCATTCCCCCACAACCTCTGCTTGGAGAGTAATGATTTGCGTCCGTTGGTTCACTGGCTTTTTTTCGAAAATGATGTCAACAAGGAAAAATCCAAACGCAACTTCTTGACATGACGTCATGAGAGAAAACAGACGACCTTTGTGAAGAGGGGACGCGGTCTCCATGACAACGGTCCTGTCCACAACAAGATATGTAGGGAAAAGGTCGGGTCCCGGGCCAAGTCTCTGTTCACCATTAATACGCCTATGGTACGAAATGCTTTCTTAAAATCTATGAAGGGACAATATCAGTGTCCGGACAAGGTTGACTGTGTTTGTGCTTTTGTGTACAACAGGAAGACGTAAGAAACTGCTAATCCTCGGTAGTAAAAGTCAACAACAGAGATGTGTTCTGAAACTTAATCAAAACCCGATAGTGCCTTCGTAAGTCCCGCCTACAATCCAAGTGACTCCAGCCATAATTTTCTCCCCAAACTGTTCTTAAAGACACGTACAGCTGCAGTTTTGTAGGATACCTAAATTCAATCGCATTTTTTTTTCGTCAGACGTTCCTACAAAAAATTAAGTCATCAAAATCCCTTCTGGAAGAGGCTAGTAAACTACTGCTGCGAAGCCTGGACGAGACTAGTAAACTACTGCTGCGAAGCCTGGAGGAGGCTAGTAAACTACTGCTGCATGACAGATGAGGACAATTCTGCCCGAGCTCAGTGTATCGCAGTAGCCGGATTAAGGTGACGGTCAGGACACGGTAACTCATCAGTACTGTATCATTAACGTCGTCCTTAAGCTTCGGTCACAACCCGCCGTACGTGCATCTGCGTGCTGTCTACGTGCAAAAACGTGGGCAAACGTAGGGCATCCGTGCGTGGTGAGTACCACCTCCGTACGGAATCCTACGGATTTGGGTGCACGCAGACACGCCGTAGAACTTTAAGTGCATGTAAAACTTTTTCTGCGTGCGGTCTACGGATTCACCACCCGTGCGTGCGAGTACGAGCGACGCGCGTGCCCCATACGTACCGTACGAAAGACGCACGTGTGAGTACGGCCTCCTTACGGTAAAGTTGCAATCGCACGGAGATCGTACGTTGTAAGCACGTACAACTCACTCACTACTTGCGCAACGTACGATGCACGCAACCGCTCACGGCCAGACGTGGCGTGCAGACCACTCGATGCCACTCCTTCCCCACGTTTTCAGAAAAAACGTAGCAGACGTAGTTAACTTTTGTAAATAAAAAATTTATTATCCTATCACTTGTTCACATGTCCGTTAGGTTCATCTGGTTTCGTAATTATAGCCATGGTGACGTAATTATAGCCATAACTTTATGTCAGCACAGTATCGAATGAACTTTCGGTCTATTTATAGGACAGTGTTAAATTCACTTGAATTATTTAAAAGTCGGTTTATAACTCAACATTATTCTTGAAATTGCTGCTCTTTTTTTCAATCGTACCTTCCTTGAAATGCTACTCCCGGAATGGCATGAAAAAATAAAAGAATGTATTATAATATAAATATTTCTACCTTCTTTCCAATCGTGATAATCTATTCGCATATTTGCTATACTTTATGTAGGTATGTTTAAATTGCAATACAATATGCATACAATATGCAAATATTTTAGAAGATTTAAAAATGTTACTTTCTTCGCTGAGATAAAGAGAACGAATGGCCACCCCCTCACCCCNCCCNCC